AAATATTTATCAGGTGATCTCAGTTCCCTACTTTACATGCTATAATGTTGAGCCTTGGCAACTATAGGAAAGTCACGTAGGATCTTGCAGGCCAGTAGGGAGTTTTCTCCTGCTTCATTCTGTTCCTCCTGGCTCTTCCCACAGTAGGTCACCTGTCCCATTGCCTCTGCCTGGATGGCTTTTTCTCATTCCTCAAGACTCTGTTCCAGTGTCACAGGAGCCGTCCTTTGAGGCCTACCTAACGCCGCCTCCTCCGCCTCAGTCTCCAGCCCCTAAATTTTGTTTTTTTTTTTTCATATTCATCACTCTCTGAAAATATTTTGTATTTGCAGCATGTGGTAGTTAACTGGGGCAGGGACTGTTCACGGTCCTAGTATGGAGCAGATACTTTTTAAAGAGCTGCAGAGGGAGGGAAGGAGGGAAGGAAGGAAGGAAGAAAGGGTGTGTAAAGCAGATAAAGCATTTTGCGCAGTTTGGAGAATAAAGTCGAATCTCAGTTCCCCCAAGTCTTCCTGCATTATGGAAATCTCAGAGATTTGTTTTAGAAAAAACAGTGTAAGGTATTCAGATACCATCAAGAGTATGATTTATGGGTGAATTAGGATACCTGGCCTCTAGCCATCAAGGTAAACCTTCCTCCTAAATAGCTGTGTGAATCTGGTCAGCTCTCTGGGCTTCCATTTGCTCACCCAAAACTAATGGGCTTTACGAAATTCCTTAGCCCTGCTGGTTCTAACCATAAACCAAATGTGTCGGGCTCCTCTCGTGGAGCTTCAGTTTTTATCCTTCATCCGTGACTCAGAATTTCAGTGGATATCAGAAATACATTCAGCTCTACTCTGCATTAACCACAAGTGGCACTTTTACTGACTATTTCTCGGGGAGATGCAGGAGGTGTTAAATACAGCGGTACACAGCTTTCCTCTAGGGTACATCTCCTTTTGGGTTTCCTCTTCCCGCAGTCTCTGCCTCAGGGGCCAGGCTCCCCGGTCCCCCTCTGACTGTGTCTCAGGTGGCCTTCTGCACTGTTTTGTCTCCATCTGCTCCACACCCACCCCCGCCCTGCCCGTTACCTGGCTCAGGAAACAGGGGACCTTCCATGTATTCCACCTCTTCTGAGGGGCAGGGAACCTGAATCACACATAGACTTTGAACTCGCACAGTATTTTTCCCTGCTGCTCAGCATCCTCACAAAGTTCAAGAAAAGCAGCCAACAGTTTTAAACCTAACTGACAATGAAATAATTGTTTCTTTTTTCTTATTTCTTTTCTTTTTTTAATTTTTATTTATTTATTTTTTTGCACCCTAGTTTTCCGCTTCTCCCTTCTCTTTTACCTTTTTTAGTTTAACTTGGAGGCCAAAACTCTAGTGTCTGCTTCTTTCTGAAATGCTTCATGGTCCCCACATGACAAAACCGTGCTTGGGGCCAGTGCTGTGCATCTGCCTCTTCTGGAGTCGAGGCTCACAGAGGTGACTGAAGTACAGGAGGAAAGTTTGTCTAAAAACTGAGCACAGAGCTCAAGGGCACCAAGTGGCTTCCCAACCCAGTCTTCAGCAAACCCCAAGGCACTCCAGGGAGAGGCAGGCTTGCCAGCCAGTTTTGCTGAGAAGAGAAAGACCGAAGCCCTGCCCCAGCACAGAGACTCTCAGAGAGGCAGACAGCACCAGGAGCCAGAGCTTGCTGCATGGTCTGCAAACACACGCATGGAGCAACACCACCAACTTACTCACACTTTCCTCAAAGGCCAACAAGCAAATTGATGTGGTTTGTGGCACTGCCCGACTGAGCCATTACCCAGCCATGCCACTCTGTGCAAAATAATCATATCTTAGTTATGGTGTCAATGAGCAGCTACCAGGAGAGCTCTGCATTGTTGTAATTCATTTGAAATGCCGTTTAGAAGAAATACACGTTTGTGGCACTGCCCGACTGAGCCATTACCCAGCCATGCCACTCTGTGCAAAATAATCATATCCTAGTTATGGTGTCAATGAGCAGCTACCAGGAGAGCTCTGCATTGTTGTAATTCATTTGAAATGCCGTTTAGAAGAAATACACGTACACACACACACATCACTTCTCAAAAGACACCGAGAAACCCAAATAATTTATTTATATCTAGATATAGAAAAGGACGTGGGATTTGGACAGGAGAGAACTTTGCTAAAATAAAGCACCAAGAGCATGCTGCTCCTCACCCTTGTCCAGCTGCGCAAGCCATTGTGTCTGCACTTCACCATGTCTTTTCTTCTTTGTTGTCTGTGTCTGCAGAGGGGACTTCAAGTTATGCAGGTGGAAAATCAAAATACCGAAGAGTCCCCATCCTCACTGAACTGAGTAAGTTGTATATTGAGGGTAAACTTCAAAGGAAAAATCTTTGTGTCGCATAATTGATGTAAATTGAGTTTCTTTTTAGAATCCACAGTCAGAGGACAGAGGGACCAGGATGGGGCCCAGAGAGATTTGTGTACAGGCTGGAGGTTACCCCTGGCTTTTACCAGCTGGTGACGTCCTTCAGTGGAGCCTGTTCTACCCGGGTGTCAGATGCAGGAATAACACCTGCTCTCTTAATTCTTCCCATTACTGGGAGAGGGCAGGCGTCCTGCCACCAGCTCAGTCTTATTCAGGGGAGGGGACATGGATTTGAAGACTGCTAGAAAGGATCTCCCTGTGCTGACTTACCTACCCGATCACAGGACTGTAGGTCAGACACCTTCCTTCCCTGTGTGTCATGAGGCACACGAGGGCTGAGGCTGGCATGAGGCAGGTGAGGCACATGGGGTGCAGACTTTTGAGGGGGTGCTCACCCTTGGGGACCTTAAATTTTATGTCCCAGCTATACACCTTGCATCATCGTAATCGCAGCCCTGGGTGATGCTCTTCTAAGATGGAAAAACCCCTTGGAGAAATAACAGAACAAACTGCTATCTCTCGCCAACACCTTACAGAAAATGAGCATTACAAAACTTCCCTGGAAGCCAGGGGCTGCGGGAGCAGAAAGCAGGGTAGAGGAAGGCAGGGAAGGGTGTCTATGTACACAGGGGTGGGAAAACTAGGGGACACACAGGGACTTACTACGGACAATAATTGAGTATAAAAGCGGGAAATACCAAAGAAGAGGGGAATGGCGACTTCAACACAGATTGAACCAATTTGGAGATGATCTCCACAGCAGGTGCTGGGAGTGGGACTTGACCTGATTCTGTAGAATAAAGGAATGCTCAATTGGCATTTTATGATTTAGAGAGTTGAAGCCAATGAGACTTATACCAAACTAGAGGAACAGATCTCTTAGTCCTAGAAATGAAGCAGCGGTCCCCTGCTTCAAGAGGCATCAGCAGGTCTCAGCACCATGAGAGCTGGCAGTTGACATGAAGCACATGGAAAGCAGCCTATTCACTCCGGGTCCTGGAGCAGAGGCTCCTTAAACTCAGCTTGCAGACCTCAGATCCCCGGATACTGACTGCTGCATGTAGCCTATGTGTAACCATCTTGAAGCTGTCAGATGCAATTTTATTTATATTTGCTTTTTTCTCCACGAGCAGCCTATTCACTCCGGGTCCTGGAGCAGAGGCTCCTTAAACTCAGCTTGCAGACCTCAGGTCCCGGATACTGACTGCTGCATGTAGCCTACGTGTAACCATCTTGAAGCTGTCAGATGCAATTTTATTTATATTTGCTTTTTTCTCCACTTTTGAACTGTCCTTAACTCCCAAGGTGTGTATACACTAAGTACGTTAATTTGAAGACGACCGTGGGTTAGAGTGGTCGGGAGGAAATCAGCCAGTTTCTCACTGGCTCAGAGGTGCGGCTGGTCATTCTCCAAGGACTTACAGACCTTGCTCAACCACAGACTTTCTGGCACCAGGCAGCCCTTGTCAAATCAGCCTAGCAAGCCACCTGCCAGCTCGCTCAGTTTCTTGTTCTTTGGCCGGCCGGGAACGGGTCACATTGACATGGGAGCTGCAGGCCTGACAGCCAGCACTTTGGTACAGAACGTACGGGGCCTACAGGAAAAAGGCTAAGAAAGCTGAGGTCGCTGGGTTAGGGTGACCCAGCAGGATTCAGACAAAGGCTTGTGGGGTACATTTGTGTGCTGAGGGTAGACGTGCACAGGAGACGTGGGTTGACATTAGTCACACCTTGCTCATCTTTTATAAAAATAATGCTGTTCTCGGGAGAAAACGATTCATTAAATGCACCTGTATGTCACTTTCCCCGAACTTACTAAGGAATAATTTAAGGAATTAGGAAATAATCCAGTCTTAGTAAGAAATACATTCTGAGTTGTATGTTCAGTAGATTCGTTTTGATCTGTAATATCAAGAACTGTAATGTTAAGAACTGTGAAGGGCTTAAGACTATCCTATTTGCAAACCAACAAGTTAACCTGCCACAGCCTCATGATTGTGGGAAGAAGACAAAAGACCTCTGGATCAGAGACAAAAAAAAAACAAAACCTACTTTATTACTCACAGCATTAACAGCAGCCAGCACAGGGTCATTTTTATGCTGGTTGCCCAAGCCCTGTTTCTCACAGGGTGACATGAAGAGGGCCGAGTGACACCCCTACCCACAGTGAATTGCTGTTTAGGAAAGAAACCTGAGCTTAGGAAATGAGAATCTTTTCTAGGTGGCAGCAAGCATGCCTTCTCCTTGCTCTGGTGGGAGACGCCATCTCTACCTTGCAACGCTGCTCTCTATACAAACACTTCCGAAGCAAGAGTCTAGGATGCAAGGTAGCCAGAGCCTCTGCTCTCGCTCCAGACAGTGACCAGTTGTGGTCACTGCAGGGCTCTGAGTTGTAGCCCAGGGCTAGGATAGACATGTTAGTGAGTAATTTGGCTACCGCTGTACTGGCCTCAGTTAGGACGATTCTCTGAGCCCTTGCTACTCCGAGCCTGGTTCCTGCAGCTTCAGCAGCAGCATCTGGAAGCTCACTGGAAACGTGCACTCTCAGTCCCCAGCAATAGGCCCAGTGAGCCAGTGAACCTGCATTGTAACAAGATCCCCAGGGGGTTCACCTGCACATTGAATTGTGAGAGGCACTGCTCTAACTCTTTCTGGACTCTAGAGACCCAAGTAAGTACCAGGTCATCTGTTACACAGAATTGTGAGAAGAGACTATAACTGGGGTGACCAGATGCTCTTATTTATGCCTATTGTCCCAGTGCAGTCATCGAGAGTGCCCCCTTTTGCTCCCCTAAGTGTCCTGGTTTGAAAGATAAATTGTATAAGTGTGACAATCAGGACACTTTCTTGGAGAAACTGGGCCTGGGTTATAAGAATATCCCATTCATAATGAAGGTACCAAGAGGAATACGTGTCTTTAGGGGAGGAAGGTCCTTGGAAAGGAAAACACAGTGTACTGAAGTGTAGGGGCGGATCCCACAGAGACCCCAAAGTAGGCACCGAATCTTCTGATCAAGCGGTCCCCTGGCTCGCCTGTGTGGCAGTTCCTCCATTCTTAAGCCTGACACCCTGCCTTTCCTTCTCACCTCTTTCCCCTGCAGAAAACCCTTACAACATCCACTTTATTGAACCGCTCGGTGGACTGGAAGGGTCCCTCACAGGAACAAACCTGCACCTCAGCACTTCCTTTTCCACAGGCACTGTCTTTTCCGGCAGCTTCTTGGATTCCCTCCTGGCCACGGTAAGTGCAGCTAAGCCGAGGAGCCTCTGAAACCAAGCCCCTTGCAGAGGAGTGAGCGGTTGGGTTAGGGCCGAGTGCACGACCATGCCTCACAAGGCTAAGTTCTCTTTGACTTTCCAAAAAGCTAGTGCACATATACGCTCTTTCCTTTTCTCACAACCACTTGGTGAAGGAAGCGAAGTTTTCACATTTCAGTGTTACAAACTTGGGGTGCTTGTTGCCAGCATACCCGATGCCAGGAGGAATGAGGCCCGGCCTGTCAACTTCACGTGCATCTCAGCGGACCAGGCTTCCTGGCGTCACAGCGCAGGAGATACTGCTTCATCTTTTCACTAAAATCTCCCAGCAGCTCATGTGGAAACTGGCCAGAAAGGGGCCCTGGGGTTGTAAGGAAAAAGCTTTGACCTTTGGTGGTGTGAGTATTGTTCAGAGCTAAGTCAAAGCTCTTCCCATGTTGCCCTCATGGGGTGCATTTTTGACTACATGGTTGTTCTTTCGTTTTCAGCACCTCTTTAGCCACAAGCAGATCCCTTGCATCCATTACAGGATTCCCACAAATAGGATTAATTCATCGCACATATTCCTGTTGAGTCCCCACCCTGTGCAGGGCACCATGCTAGGTGCTGAGGATACAGCAGTGATAAAACAGACAGAAGCCTGCACTCCCGTGAGCTTGCGCTAGTGGAGGAGGTTGACGTAAACGTGGTAGATAAGTAACATATTAGGGATGCCGGTTACAGGGCTAAGGAAATGTGAGACAGGAAATGTACGGTTTAGACAAGGGGTTGCAAGTTTCAATAACGTGGCCAGGAAAGGCTGCCCTGAGAAGGTGGCATGTGAACCAAGCTCTGGAGGAGAGGAGGGCTCACTCCTCTCAGCTCTTATGGGGGAGCAGGCCCAGGGTGTTCACGGAAAGTGAACAAGACCCCAAGATCTGTGCGCAGCCATCTGTGATTGACCACAAGAACTCTTCCAAGGGAAATCCATGTATCCCACCCCCTCACAGATTCCTCCTACCTGGGTTTTCCAAGGGAAGGGGTGCAGAATGGCTGGCCGTCAACATGCAGACGCTGAGATGCGCATGGCTCTGAGCACAGTCTGATGGACTTGCTGCCTCTGGGATTCCACACAGAGGGGCACCACCCCTGAATTGTAGGGGTGCCCCACAGGCGAAGTTTGCACGTTTGGGAGCATGGCTGGGCCACATGCATCCCCCGTCATAGCATCTATGCCATTTGGTGCTGAGGGAATTATGTTACCCTGGGCTCTGTCTCCCTAAGCCAGGGTGGGGATCTCATACACCCCACCGAGCTCTCAGAGAGATCGGATGTCCTCAGTGATAATTTAACATCAAACAGGTCAGTCAACTATAAGGTTCCTAAAGGGAGAAGCTGTGTTCAGCCTTGACTGAGCCGGACAGGAAGTGCTGCAGGGAGTCAGGGCAGGTTGCTTTTCTGAGAAGGTGGCTCCATCAGAGAAAGTGTTGTGTCATTGTCTGCCACTGATACATCAGTCAACTTGCCTGGAGTTAATGACTGGAGTGTCAGGCAAAAGGGGACTTTTGAAGAACCTGACCTGTCTGCAGGTTACATTTTAGATGGGTCCCAGGTCTCTTCAGAGATTCTGAGATGGCAGGCAGTTTCATGGCCTAACTTGAACTTGAGACTTGACTAAACCCCACTGACCTTCACAGACAGGAACAAAGCCGCAGATTCTATTTAGAGTTAGTCAGAAGTCAGGACGGACAGAGGAGGGCTGGGCGAGCAGACATAAGAGCAAACGAACACACAGCATCAGCCAGCATGGTAGACACAAGCTGGTGGCAAGAGCTCTGAGCCAGGTGTTGGCACCCGGGCCCAGGGATGCCTGTCTTGACTCCCACGCGAGCACAACCTCAGCCTTGGGCAAGCAGAGGACTGCTGCTTCCTCCCAGCCCGCCTGCAGACACTGCATGGATGGGCTTCGCTCAGTAGCAGAGGATGGCCTCCTGCTGGAGCTACATAAAATCTCGGGAGTCTTTTCTGGGGCCCCAGTGGTGACGTCGGTAGGAGAGAGAAAAAGCCACATAGTGTAGGTAGGCTGTATTCACGGGAGGTCACAACCCACAGTGGACAGTCAGCTGGCCTTAAGAACTCCTGGTCAGTGCTCAATTTAGGATGGGCACTTGGTCAGCTGAATACGGGGTGGGGACACCCGTGGAGCACTGGGGTGGAAGTTATCCTTTATGTGCAGGGGGCCACCTCAGGCCTTGAGCCTCTGAATCTCCACCTGGGTAGCCTCTGTCCCAGCTCTTGAATCTTTAATGATGCATGGGACAGCAAAACGAACATACTCACTACCATTTAAACAGTGAGCTAAGCTAGACCCTTGACAGTGATCATGAATGCTGCCCACACTGGCTTTCCTTCCCCCGGGGCCTGTACTTCTGGTTCTACTGGCCTTCCCAAGGGTGGTGCTAACTTTCCATCACACCATCCATCAAAGAAAGAGCCCAAGGGTCAGGCCTGAGCCTCCAGTTCCACAGTCTCCTCTCTCCCAGGCACTGTTCAATCTTGGCTGACCTCCTGGTCTTGCCACCTGGTCACATAAAAATAGCCTTAGAACAACTTAAAATATGCATGCATCTCCTTGTTGATGGTGGGGAGGCAAAGACCTCAGTGTCCCCACAGTGTGGGATGGCAGTTCTGAGCCCCAGGGCCATCACCCCTCCAATACGCCTCCGACAACTTAAAATATGCATGCATCTCCTTGTTGATGGTGGGGAGGCAAAGACCTCAGTGTCCCACAGTGTGGGATGGCAGTTCTGAGCCCCAGGGCCATCACCCCTCCAATACGCCTCCATGGCAAATGCGACTGATGACCACAGTTCTCCTACCCCCATCACACCTGCAGACCTCAAGGCAACACAGACCTCAAGGTAACTTATTCTGGTAACTTTTGTTGTTGAGATAATATCAATAATAATAGCAATATCTGTCATAGGAAGAGTAATAACGTCTCTCAAGCTTACCTATGCCAAGGACTTTGCTAAGCGCATCACCTACATTACTTTGATTCTCCTGTCGACCCAATTAGGAAAATATTATTATCCACCTCATTTAACGGATGAAGACACTGAGGCTTAGAGGCATAAATAATCTGCCAAAGGTCACACCATGTACAAATAACGAGTTGGTTTTCAGACCCAGATTTATGTGATTCCAGAGTCAGGCCTCGCTGCCACCGTCCGCTGGCCCTCCAGATCTGCGTCTGTGATTATCAGTATCTTTCCCGTACGGTGGTCTTCAGGTGCTGCCTGAGGAGTCCATCTCTCCGAGTGCTCCTGGGTTGTGGAGGGGACAGCAGGAAAGAAGGAGACGAGGACAGCCACCGTGCCTCTCCCCGGTCAGAGCTACGCTACCTTTGTCTGTGTCATGCTTTAGGCACCTGCATAAGATTTGGTTGGAAGAAAGATTGCTGTTGCTAAGAAGCTTGTGCAAACCACTCCCTAGAGGTTAGACTGAATGACCAGCAGAGAGAATGACATAGCCAGAACCCTGTTCTCTCTGCCGAGACAAGTGTCCCATGTCCACCAGCGTCCTCTGCCTGTGTGAGAGGCAGGACTCAGCTGTTCACCCGAGTCCGCCCTTCCCTCCCCAAGACCGTCTTCCGCGTTTGGCTCTTCTGACCTGCTGCCCAGCTTAACGCCCCAGGAGCTCTGTGCCCTGCGCCGTGTAGTCAGAGGTCATAGTTACACTCAAACCGTCTGTCCCCCTGATGCCGCAGCACACAGGAGGGCGAGGCTAAAACCAGACGCGTCCCCAACAGGCTCCCGCAGGAGGAAGGGCCAACACTTCAGCAGCTTCTGAAACAGGTCCCTGCAACAGCAGCCTCGACTCCAACTGTGGTGGACTATGTTCCCACCTGACGCCGAGCGCCCCCTTCCTTCCCACGTGGGCACGAAAACTTAACAGGCCCACGCTGCTCTCCCTGCCCACGGCCCTAACGAATGCCCAGGAGAAGGGACAGGCCAGTCCCAGAAGGCAGCAGCGCCCACAATAATCCCGTGTGAAGTTGTCACCGCTTAGAAATACTGAGGTTTTGTTTAAATTTTTACGCAATTTTTAAAATTCTATCCCCTGATAGATCTATAATATTTTTTTCTGCATAAAATAATGGGGTTTCCCTCCAAATCTCCTTGCACAGCTGAGATGGGAACAGCTCCTGCCCCTGCTGGAGAAATGTG